CCGGCGGGCCCGGGCTCGTCCCTCGACGGGCTCCTGTCGGCGCTGCCCGGCTGCAGCCTGCGAGCCGCTCTTGGGGGAGCACGGCGCGATTAGTTCTTAGTGCGGTGCTCTCTTACTGCTGTATTTATGCGACTATCAGGTGACTGCGTTTATGTAGAGGACGAAGGAGGGTAAAAACCTGACCCAAAATGCACGTTGACTGGTCCAGAATATCTCGCTGCACTTAAGGAGCAGGTCTTCTGTGGCATAGCCGAGAAGTACAGCGCTTTTCTGGATAGTAAGATAGTGGGCTCTAGCCAAGAAAGATCCTGTCCTGCATTTAGTTTACAGATACAGAACTTGAGGGCTGGAGGGAGAAGAGGAGAAATCTCACTTACCCTGTAGAGCGAGAAAAAGCAGTATTCTGAGTACTGAAAGGATGAAAGGACAACGCGGCTTTATCCCCCAGATTTTTGGAGGTTTCTGTAACCAGAGGGAAGGAAGAGTATGAAAAGCTACAACGATGTCTGGGAGAAGTAGGAAAAAAGATAGGACCTATGGAGAAAGAGATGGGATAGCAATGCGGAGATAGGGATGCAAAGGGAAATGGTAGCGATACAGAACCGGAGATGGAGAGGCTTAAGTGCTGCAATACAGTATTTCATTGCTCCTCGGCTAGAACTGCATGTCTGGTCAGCGAGGCTGCAGCATCCTCTTACAGCTTTGATCTGTGGAGGTGAAAAGAATATGTGCACGCTTGGGGAGAGCCCTGTGCTCCTTTGCACCATTACCTCCCAGATGGAGGTGGCAACTGCTCCCATCTGGGCCTAGATTTTATCTAAATGTAAGGTTGAGCATGAGCATATGGTAAGTGCTTAGGATGTTATTTCTGGGGAGAAAAATGGCCTTGGGTACCTTTGCGACAGTTCTGTGTGGGTTCTTATTTTGCTTGTATTCTGTAGAAATCTCAGGAAAGGTGGTTGTCATAGCATGTACTAGACTTTTCCAAGGTCATAGTCAAAGCATGTGGCACAAGTTAGCCTAGGTACATAAATTCATGTATGCAAGACTTGATAAGGGATTCTTCTGGCTGTGACTCTTCACTGCAATTATTTTTTTTTAGAAATTGATTCAGTGAGCAACCATTGATGGCTGTGTTATGGATTCTTTGGGTTGTAGAACTTTTCTTCCTGCCAACTGTCTATTAAAAGTTTAGTTGATTTTGAACTTTGTGATATAGCTGTCCACCTTCTACTTTTCAATGAACTTCTCAAGGATCATTGCTAAAATACTTTTTTGGAGATAGATGACTGGCTGTTTTACACTGAGTGATTGGTTTGCTTTATCTTTTCTGGGGGGGTTGTTTTGTGAAGAGACTTGATAAATGAAAGAAAATTTTAGTGTTTCACTTATTTTCTTGCTTTTGTTAGCAATTCTTATTCCCAGGTGTTAAATACAGTATTTCTGCACTGCCTTGTCTCTTGCCTTGGGAGTTGCAACTTCAGTTTCACTTTCTGCTTAAGTAGGCAAAATGTAGCACTTAAATAATGATTGGAAGGTTCTTTCCAAGCGGTCATAAAAATTTTAAGTCTAAACTTTCAGGATTTTTTTTTTTTTATTTAGCTTCGAAATTTAATAACACCATTGAAATTTATTTGAAGAAGAAATTATTCAGTTAGGTCCATGGGACATGTTCTTCCTCCATCCAGCTTCCCTGTGTTTGTGCCATCAGCAGAACTTGAAAATACCCTGACTGCCAGAGGGGCTAAACCTAAACCTGTGTGCCTGTTAACGGCAGGAGGGAGTGAGGAACAGCATGTTGGTACTCCAATATCATTATTACTGTCATCACCGTGCACTTTCATAAATGATGCTGTGATTCTCATGTTGAAAAACAGTTGTATCTGTTTATTGTCAGTAGGTTTAACCAGATACTGAAATCTACTTTTCCCTTAGTCAGGGTTTGGAAAACTATTAAGCTAGGCTCGTAGAAAACAGGAGTCTAATCTGGGTGAAGATACTTGGGTAGTAATTTGTCAAGTATCTGAAAGTGAGTAGCTTTGCTAGTTACAGCTTACTGTGAAACAGTTAAAGTTTTTAGCACTGACAGAGGCTATACTATCTGGAAAAACAACTTTAGTTACATCATATAGTGTTTGCAATCTTACCTTCAAAACCTGCTAGTGCTAAAAAAGCAATTTTGACAGTAATTTAAATAATTTTCATCAATCCCAATTTCATAAAATAAACACTAGATAGTAACTCTACCTAATATCTTTGTGATTATTTTGCTATCTTTAAAGTTCTCACAAAAGAGTTAAAGAGTCTCGGAGGATTTTTGTAGTACCTAACTGGAAAAATATGTGTACTCAGATATTGAGGTGCTTCCTTGTATTAGGAAGGATTTATCTGTTTCACTTAAATTCAAGATTTTAAAACTCTGTAGGTCCAGGTGGGAAGCGTTTCATGAATGGAATTAAGTGACTGCAGAGTACTGGAAATGCTGGACTTCAGGAGGAAAAATATACTTGTAGTAATCAAACTTTTAATAGTAAGAGTCATTGGTATAAATTGGTGGAATTTTAAGGCCAACACTTCTTTCTAGAGTGATCGGTTGTGATTTTTTCCAAGCTGCACTTGTCTATATTTTAATACAGAACCATGCTTTGTAAGAAATGTTATTTCCTTTCCACACTTAAGGTTATTTTGTCTAAAACAGGTGGTGTTTTATTTAAGTGTTTTGATCTCCGCAATTGTATCTTAAATACTAAAACCATTTTGTCACTCCCATTCCAGCTAAGCCTTCAGAAGCAGTAACTCCTTTCCTGTACCCTGTCTGTTTAATGTTTCCTTCTGTAGGCCAGTTGCATAATCATTGAAGTGTGTGTTTGTCTCTCATCGTATATTGTTCCAAGGCCAATTTTTTTTTCTATGAAGGAATTTTTACTCATTATAGAGAATGTAGGGGTATAGAGGATTCAAGGAATGTTACATGGTACCCCTTTTTTTTTTTTTTTTTTTTTTTCTAAAAAGAGCTTTCACTGCTGGCACAGCAAAACTTTATTTTGTTCAAGTCCTTTGAAGTCTTTGTCTGCTGTCCTTCATTTCCCTATTAAGTTTTAGAACTTGTTTTTAATACTACAAAGCGTAAGATTTACAGTCTTGGGGGAGAGTGAGGAGAGTCATTGTTCTGTTAGCCAAACTTCTACTGTTACGAACCAAAGTACAATATCATGTCAGGTATCTCTTTAAGTATATTCCAGGTTAATGGGAAAAGATTGACTTACAAATATTCACAGTCATTACAATCTACATGTTTCCTATTATTAGCTGATGAAGTCATGGACTTGTACAGATAGTGTTAGAAATATCATAGTAATAGGTTGGGACATGAAGATAACTAGAGTGCAAACTGTCATGTGCTGTAGTGTTTTATGTAATTTAAAACACTTTCATCCTTCAGTTGTGTACACTTTTTTCACATTGTTTTGTTTTGGTTTTTGTTCTGTTCCCATTATCTAACTTTTTGTTTTCCCCCTTAAATGTTTTGGTGATTCTCCAGAACCAACGAAACGTATGCTTTCCTTCCAAGGGTTAGCGGAGTTGGCTCATCGTGAGTATCAGGCAGGAGACTTTGAAGCAGCAGAGAGACACTGCATGCAGCTTTGGAGACAAGAGCCTGATAATACTGGTGTGCTTTTATTACTATCATCCATTCACTTCCAGTGTCGCAGATTGGACAGGTAGGAGACTTGAGGTGTTCTGTCAAGCTTTCTATATAGTTTATGCCTCTAATAGTACTAAGCATAGCTGACAAAAGTTCTGTTCTAACATTGGTTTCATTTTTTATCACTGAATGCAAATAACAACTAACTTCATGGCAGCAGTAAGGACTAGGCAAAAATAATGTTCTTACTTTTTGAATTTTGTTAGGGTAAGAGAAATACAAATTGGAATCGCTAACTTTACAACAAACAACAGATCTTGCCATTATTCTCATGTGATTTTAATATTGTATACGTTAATATTGGTGTGTCAGCCACACTTGTGTTTACTGGAGGTATTTACATGTGTAAACAAAGGCTTTTCTTTGTTTATTCCACCTGAACTGTGGGGGTTTGTGGTTTTGGGGTTTTTTTTAAGTTGCAGGACTGATTGTTTGCTGCGAAATGGCATAATTAGTTAAGGATTTTTGTTATCTGCAAGTTGTCTATATTCTTTTTGCTTGCCTGTTCCTGATCTTGCTTTCTGTGCCTCAGGCATTTTGAACTTTACTTTTACAGCTGTAAATCTGCGTGTGCTGGTGAAGGAAGTAAGAACTTTTGACTGAGATTTATTTTATATAGGCTTCTGAATGGAGTTGTAATAACAGTTCAGGTATGGGAAAATAAAATGGGGGAGTATACAACAGAATTTTACATCTACATCTGTCAGCTGTGTCCTGCTTCTTGAAAAGATTGAGTGGAACATTGCTTAAAGCATACAAATGTTGGAGGAGGCTTCACAGGATTTCTGTTGTGTTTTCTCCAAGTGTGCTGAGTTCAGGTTTGGTGAGGCGACTTGGACCCTACTGATTGTAAATGAGAGTTGCCTTTCTTCAGTAGAATCTAAAATAGGAACAAGGGAGATGATAGTTTAAGCTAGGAGAAGCTAAACATACAAGACAGCTCTGTAACTCCAGATTTGTTGGCTATCTGTTTGCCTCACTTAAGCATGAATGTTCATTAAGTGACTAGGTAAACAGGCAAACAATGAAAGTCAAGGGTGGGGTTGGTGGTTTTGTGTTTTGGTTGGTTTGGGTTTTTTTGGGTTTTTTTTTTGCTAACTTGTCTAATTTTCTCCAGGTCTGCTCACTTCAGCACTTTGGCTATTAAACAGAATCCCCTGTTGGCCGAAGCCTACTCGAATCTAGGCAATGTGTACAAGGAACGTGGACAGCTACAAGAAGCAATTGAACATTATAGACATGCACTACGCCTCAAACCAGATTTCATTGATGGATATATTAATTTGGCTGCTGCACTGGTAGCTGCAGGCGATATGGAAGGAGCAGTACAGGCATATGTGTCTGCCCTTCAGTACAACCCTGTAAGTAGCACTTTATTTTATAGAAGAACTCCATACTTTACTACTGTTCCAGGACACACAAATAGCAGGTTTCAAAGAATGAACGTGTAATAACCCTTCCCTCTAACCTGATCACTAGATCATTATTATACAATTATATTATATAATGATCAGTAGATCATTATAATACTTTTCTTAAGGATCTTTGAAAGGTTTCTGTCACAAAAAGTTTTGTGTTGCAATACAGTAAAGCCTGCTGGTTGTGTTCTTGTTGAGATAACAAAATCAAGGAATTGTTGGGGTTTTTTTTTTTGTTTTTTGTTTTTTTTCCCTGAAGTCAGAAGTTTCAGTGAATAACCTCATATTTAGCTTCGTGTGCTTTAAGGTAGTATTATTACAGTGAGAGAATCACTGCTCAGACTTCAATGTGAGATCTTGAAAAATCATCAGGTATTACTTTATCACAAAGTCAGAAATTCCATGGTGGTGACAAGTTGCCTTGGTTAGATTTCCACTGTGGACTGGTTTACAGAAGCATCACTTTTTATAGGCTGAAACTGAACATCTGTCTGTAAGTGACTCCTGTAAAATAGATCTGGTGTTTGGATTTTCAGTTGTAACTGTTTTGAATTGACATTTTTAGTAAACAGTGTATCAGGCTGCTATCTGCTGTTTATTTTGCATTGTATTCAAATAATTTGTATAGTACTACTGAGGAAGCAGAAACCTTCATCATGCTATTTGGTCATACGTTTTGTCAAAAAATACTTAAAATGCAGCATTGGTCTGGTGTGGGTATATCCTTTGGAAAAGCAAATGCAAACCCAGTCCAGAAGCTCAGAATCTTGTTTTGCTGTGTTCTTCAGCCTAGGTGAACTTGTCTAACTTATTATGCTAAGCAGTGTGACTAGTGGAGTTTATGCCCTGTTTAGAAATACTGTAAGATGGTGTTTTCTTACAGGAGTTGAGCTTTGTTTACATTAGAAACTTCTTTTGTTAGCGTTAACAAAAATGTCCTCATTCTTTGTGATCTTTACTGCTTAGATAATGCAGTTGAAGCTTGTGCTGTGGTTACAAATGAAAGAACAAGAACAAGTGGCAAGGCTGTTGAAAATGGATGGATTAATAGGAAAAACAGGGAGGAAAAACTGCTTTGGGGATACAGGAAGCAAAATCGCTATATATAATTTATTTAAAAGCCATAATGGCAATGATATAACTTAAGAATACAGGTTTGCAGTCATGCTTTAAAAAAAAGGGGGGGGGGGGGTTCTGAAAGAGAAAAAGGGGGTTATTTTCTGCAGTGGTCTAAGTGAACCAGTCCAATTTTTTGTTTTCTTTTATATTTCTGTATAAAAAGGAATTATATGAAACATTACTTTCTTCTTTCTACTTCTTTATGGTTGTATTTTTACAGTACTAAAATCAGTAAGATCTGTTGGCTGTAATGTTAGGTCAAGAAAAATAATTTACATTTGTGATGTATTTATTAAGAATTTAAAATAAGCTGTAGAGGACTGGGGCGTTCCTTTGCAAGTTCTCTGTGAAGACCTTTGGGGCGTCTAAAGTCTTGAAGCTGATAGTGTGACTTTGATTTTTCAGGACTTGTACTGTGTTCGTAGTGACCTGGGGAACCTGCTCAAAGCCCTGGGTCGCTTGGAAGAAGCCAAGGTAGGTGTTGGGTAGAATACATGTAAACATCAGTGTTTTGAAAACTTGAACTTTGCACCAAGTCTTCAAATCTGCGTTGATCTACAGACAGTCTGAGAAACTGCTGAAAACTGAAGGCACTGAAACACCCCCAGAGTAGTTGCAGGGCAAGATATGGCATGTCCATGTTTAAAAGTTGGCTTAAGTCAAGAAATGGAACGTTACCAAGCCTTCCTGCTGATACCATTCTGAAGTATTGGGCAGGGGCTCCATCATGCTCTTATCTGGAAATAAGTAACAGTCCTTCAAACCTGAGGCTTGCCTGCTGGTGCCAAGCAGAGAGCCTGTGGTTAGCTCGAGATCCCTGTACGATGCAGGTGCTATTGAAAATGCTGCTCTTCTAAAGTCCTTTGTGGCTTGTAAGTGGAGAAGAAACTTATCCAAATGTTACCTTGTAATATTGGCTTTTAAAGATTTTTATTCTTTTAACTTTTCCCTTCCCTCGATAGTGGAAGAAAGGCTAGTAAATCATCAATAGCTGCAGTATGCAAACCCCCGGAATATCTTTTCTTCATGTCTTCCCTCTCCCCTCCCCCAAAATAAAGAAATCGGAAGGACAAAGCTGGTTTGTTTGGGAAATGAACTGATCGAAAGAAAACTTGCTGTAGTGGAAAGGTGGCTTCTAGCAGTCTTATGTTTCCTAAACTGAGAATTCGAACACCAAGATGAGTTTAAAATTCTTGGCATGTTAAAACTTGGATTGCACAAAGAAATTGTCTTGTTACAAGCCACCTTACGCGTCCGCGCTGCAGGGGTGAGGAGTGTGGAGAAATCGGAAACACTCTGGACTCCACGTCTGTCACTCCAAGCCCCACGCGCATGCTAAAAAGTGGAGTGTATGAACAGCGTAGCTGTCTGTTTGGCTGCAGCACCATTTGGGGAGGGTTATGATTTTTATGGGGTAATGGGAGTGCAGGTTCAAAATTCATTATTTTTTTGATTTCTCTTAACAACTTGGATGTGTGTACCATCCTAGGGCAGCCTAATTGATTTGGTCAGATCCAAGTTGAAAATATTTTGTAGCAGCATTTAGAGTTTGAACAGTCGTTGAGACACTTGGTTCTCAGCCCACCAAGCGGACAGCTAACATGAATTGCACTTCACTGCAGCTTTAGTGTGACTGGTATAGGCCAAGACACTGCGCCTGCCTTAGGTTGCTGACTTCTTTGTTTCAGAGCTCTGGAGACACCTAGTTTGAAAGTGTTATTCCGTTTTGTGAGAACCTAATAAATGAGGAAAAACATCTTGAGTAAATTGCAATGTGTTTCTTTGGCTATCAGTCCATTTGAAAGATCAAGCCAGCAGATTCCTTACAGTTTGAACTAAAATTTAATTTCTTTGTAGATATTTCAGAGCCTTTCTTCCAAAAAAAAAGTCCCTGCTGTATGCAATTGCCCTGATTAACCCTCTCCCTTCTGCATGTCTCCCTTGTTACAGACAGATTGTCCTCATTCCCATGTGTTAAGACATATCCAAAAAAATGCAATTGCTTTGTTGAACTCTTACTAATGATCTTGTTTTATTTTCTCTCTTGTTTTTGGTTTTTCACCACTGATATTGTATTTAGAAGGTTTCAGGTGGGTGAAACCTCCTATTCCATGCGTAAGGTGCCTCGCTGAAGGGAGCTCGAGGCCTGGATCTAGGGCAGACACACACCTCCTCCTCCTCTTCCAGCAAGGAACGCACCGAAAAGTCACATGATGAGAAATATGGTAACGGGTTTGTAACTGCCACAGCAAAACCATTTGCCTCCATGCCTGAATCTTCTGTCTTGTGGCTTCAGAAACAGCTTAAAATATTTAATTACAAGCAAGTAATGTAAGAATATTTTATACTAGTAGCCACAAATTCTTTCAAAGAAATAAAGTAAAAGTAAATTAAAATATTTTTTTAAAGAAATAATTGGAGATAGTTAATAGTAAAAGCTTCTAACTCTTCTGGTTGTTCATTTTTTTCCTTTTTTCTTCTTTGTTTGGATTGCAGCGTTCTGCTCTTCTGATGATGCGCTGTGATCCTGCAGTAGCGCAAAGGCTGCGCAGCGGTAACGCGCATTGCGTGCGATTAAGCCCTCGTGAACGGTTGACTAGATGATTAATCTCTGATTGGGTGACTGCCCAAGTTCCAGGCTGTAGCCTTTTGGATAAAATTGGGTTGTAACGCATTTAGAGTCCAGACGTCAAATTTAATATGCAAGTTTCTGTATGGGCCTGTCTGGTAGATTAATGATTCTGGTTGGCCGTTCACTGGACCTAGGGGCAATCAATATAGCAAAGCAGTTCGCAGCGATAGCGTGGCGCCGTGCTGTTTAGGATGCGCAGCGATTTTTTGCGCTTGCATTACAGGGACCTAAACCTTCATGCAATCCTGTCATTTGAGGTTTTGAAGCTGAAGATGATTGAATATATTTGAAGAAACTGGGAAACAAGATACGGATTGGGTGTGTCATCTCACTTGACAAGGGCAATTAAAACCGAAGAATGGCTTAATCTTTTTCAGTAGTTTTTCTGATTTTTAACATAATTTCTATCTGGTTTAGAATATTTCACAATTTAATAATTTTATTTCACAGCAAAGTTGTTTTTGCACAGTAATTTTTTTGTTTTTATGCACTTAAGGGTGGCAGATATTTCTGCTGAACTACTTGAATTATTTCCAAGATGATTTCTGTGGTGACCTGGTGTCTAAAGGCATGTTAATTTGTTATCAGCATAACTGAAAAATGGTGGACTTGCACCTGGGTTTTGGTTTGCGCTGGCGCAGGATCAACAACAGTTTGCAGCGCATTAGTTTTGGCGCAAGCTAGCCTATACTGCAGGGTCACTTTTGGCTGGTTAGAGAAGGCATACTAACAATTATTTTTTCTCATTTTTTTCTTTTTACAAATATTCCCCTTCCCTTGTATCTCTCTTCTTTAACTGTTCCAAGGCCTGTTACTTAAAAGCAATTGAGACTCAACCAAACTTTGCAGTGGCTTGGAGTAATCTTGGCTGTGTTTTCAATGCCCAAGGAGAAATTTGGCTTGCAATTCATCACTTTGAAAAGGTAACTATCTAAGCCAGTCAGCTTCACTGCTGGATTTTAATGTACATGCAGTTGACTGCTTGTAGATGGTAGAAATATTTTGATTGGCGGAGAACTTCTTATGATCCTGTTAGTTAACATCGTATGTTAATAGTTTTCTTTACTTCCTGATGTTTCAGACTGCCTGTTTGCCACTAAAGAGAGATGTTTAGAATTGCCCTAAGGACTTCACATACATGTCAAATATAAGAAAATGCATTAAGTTGTTTTCCAGTCCTTTCCGGAATAATTTTTTTTTTTTTAAGTCTAATTTGATGAGAATAATGTTTTGCATGTTCCGTGTGTGAGAGGGAGAAACAACTTTCTGCTTAAAATTATTTTTCGTTCTGATTTTATTTCAGGTATTACTGTCCTTTGATTAGCTGAGGAGAACAGTTTTAAGTGACACACTAATTCCTCTTCTCCAGGATTGTTTTTCACCACTGTTGTTTCAGAATTCTCTAGATAAGTGTCATTAACTAGTTGTCTGATACCTTCTAGTTAGTATCTTAATTCAGTTTGTACTCATCTCTTTAAGTTTCTAAAGTGACCTAAAACCAGATTTAAGATGTGGTGGACGGTTTCTTCCTGATATTTATGACTTAAGATCTACAAAAATAATTTTAATTGCTTGGGATTTTTTTTTTATCTGTGTCTAGTTAGTGATAGATTTATAAAGTATTCTAACTTGGAAATAATAGTTCCTATGAGAAAGACTGTAAGAGTGTGGTCTGTCAAGTACTCACATGTAGCTTATTACTGTGTCTTCTGTAACTTTATTGGTTCTTAAGTTTTTTGCATTTTACTAGTTTTGAAGGGGGTGAAAATGTGGTTTGGTGGTTTTTTGTGGTTCCCCCCCCCAGCAATGGCTACTGAATTTTTGCTACACACATGATGTATTTGCTCTTTTCTCGCTCTTGTGAAACTGTCTCTGTTTTCCTGGGCTGGTAAAGTTTTAAAATGCTGTCTTACTTTGCAGTAAATAAAAGAGAGGGATCAGGTTTTTTAGGTTTTTCTCCTCTAAAACAAAATTAAAGGCAGCATAGCATGGATAGACAGGAGTGATAAGTATGATTAGCATAACATGAACTAAATAACACTTTATTCTGCAGTAGTTGCAACTGACTAGGTAAGCAAATGAATAAATTTGAAGGTAGCGTATGTTGTCGTTTCTACAGATAAATAACTTTGATGATCTGTGATTGATTTATATAACTTAGGTTTTTCCTTCCTTACTAGGTTATTGATAAATACAAAACAAAACAAAAAAACCCAAAACAAAACCAACTAGGTTTCATAGAGAATGTTTTTGTTTTAATGCTCAAAACTGTTACTTCAAAAATATTTTCAGGCTGTAACACTTGACCCAAATTTTTTGGATGCTTACATCAATCTGGGAAATGTCCTGAAGGAGGCAAGGATATTTGACAGGTAAGCAGATAAGTACTGTTGCTCTGTCAGTGGCCTCTCAGATGTATCAAGATACAAATTAGGTTCCTACTGTAAAATCTCTTTGGACAGTATAGCAAAGACTTCTGCTGTAAGCTAAGCAAGCAAATGGCTTTGAAATGCATACAGAGCAGGTTACTGGAATTAAAAAAAAAAATTTCTCTGGAATGTATTCCTTTATGTTACTTTCCTGTACTTAATAAAATGTTAAAAATTAGAGTTTCTGAAGGAATTGATGAAAATAGATTTGAAATTAAGGCTGGGGATGGGTGAAGATAATATGTCTGAAAAAGGCATGAACCCTTGTGTTGTCTGTTTTCATTATGTGATTCAGGACATGATCTACAAGTATGTATCTTCTAAAATTTTCCTTCTGTGTAAGACAAGCTAAAATGCTGAAATTCAGCTAAGCATGTAATTGAATATTCAGTATTTGTTATGTGTTGGCATCATGTTATTGCATGGGGTTGCAGTATTGTTGCTGTCTTTGTGAACTAACTTGTTTTGAGACCTCTAATCTGATACACAAATCGTACTTTTGTTTCTGGAAGAAGATCCAGGCTGCGTTGTTTATATGCAGTGTACCATATTGCATCTGTTAATTGGATTATAATTTCTAGTAGCTGTGGTTTGTGGCTCCAAATTTAATAAAATCTTGCAGGGAAGAGGTTAATTATTCTAACTAGTTGCATTGCACACAGTGTAAATCATTCAGTGATTTCTGTTTTAACCACAAATCAATGGGCCAAACAGGGGCATGTTTCCTCATCATTTTAGACTTTGTCACCTTTTTGAGAATTTACTTACTATTTATACTGTTGTGATTTTTCTGGAAATTGGATTTGAATACGTCAGTTACTTATATAGTGCTATAGGAGCATATAATTAAAGATCTCACTTTTGAACAAAGTGGAGTTTGAAGTGTAAGTAAAGCATGATACATGTGTTAGGTTAGTGGAGAGAATAAAGACATAATAATATGCTACTGTTTATATTGTTGCAATTGAATAATAGACTGGGGGAAAAATGGAGCAAAGGTCTCATGCTTATCCTAGTAACAGTGTTTTAAAAAAGTAGACGAAAGTTTTACTTTTTCCCCAAAAGACTTACGTTGATCAGTATACGGCATCAGGTGGGAGGAAAACATTCCTGTTTTACAACGTATTTCTTCTAGTCTGCTAGTCAATTACGGAATTGAGCATAGCTTTAGAATAACATGAAGAATAATAATAATAATTCATCCCTTGATTAGGCTTTTAATTCAGGCAGTACTCTTCTGTGTTTTCAGTAACATCTTACAGGACAGATCTGTGTGTGTTAATAATACATATCCCTTGAAGTTTGGGTTTTTTTTATGTAGGTTGTTTTTATGACCAAGGTAAATATAATTACTGCTCTGTGGATGATTGTTTGCCTTCTTTTTCTTGTTACAGAGCTGTAGCAGCTTATCTACGAGCCTTGAGTTTGAGTCCAAATCACGCAGTTGTGCACGGCAACCTTGCCTGTGTGTATTATGAGCAAGGACTAATAGACCTAGCAATAGACACATACAGGAGGGCGATTGAACTACAACCCCACTTCCCTGACGCCTATTGTAACTTGGCCAATGCCTTAAAGGAGAAAGGCAGTGTAAGAAGTACTTTTTTTTCCCTTTTTAAAGTGTTTTAAAGTGTAGTGAATGTTTATTTTAGACACCAGGTGTCACCAGTAAATTATTGAGATGGGATGTTACCCTGATTTAGTTAGTCATAAGGAAGAATCAAGAAAACTCCACCTTGAACCTGTTAAAAGCGATTGTATAGTGACTTCTCATAAACAGTGCTGTTACAACAGATACTACCATGTTAATAATATCCCTTTTTTTGAAGGTGGTGGAAGCAGAAGAATGCTACAATACAGCTCTTCGACTTTGTCCCACTCATGCAGATTCTCTCAACAATCTAGCAAACATCAAACGGGAACAGGGGAATATTGAGGAAGCTGTCCGTCTTTATCGGAAGGCTCTTGAGGTACAGTTGAATGTGGTGAGGGAGAGGTGGGGAATTAAAGTTGGGAATGTGTATTATGACATAGGGTTTTCCCTCTTTGGTTGTAAGCGGAGGAATGTCTGCTCAGAGACCTGAGTCATATAAAAGAAGAGTAAGAAACGCACAAGTATTTTTTTGATATGGTCTACTTGGGGTATTTGAGAGACAGAATCTACTTCTTTTTCTTTCAGGTGTTTCCAGAGTTTGCTGCTGCGCATTCAAATTTAGCAAGTGTTCTGCAACAGCAAGGAAAGTTACAGGAAGCTCTGATGCATTACAAAGAGGCTATTAGGTAAATGGATACTATATGTAATAGTCCGAGCCTTTCATAACAGGAAAGTGCCATAGACTTGTACAGAAAGTGACTTACAGTAGCGTATTTTAATTCAGATAGTTGCTTTGCAAACCAGAAAGTCTGGGTATGGTTTCTTATTGGAGAAGGAGCTTTTATTATTCATGACATCTATTATCTTTATTTCTCAGAATCAGCCCCACGTTTGCAGATGCTTATTCTAATATGGGAAATACTTTGAAGGAGATGCAGGATGTTCAAGGAGCTCTACAGTGCTACACCCGTGCCATTCAGATAAACCCAGCTTTTGCTGATGCGCACAGCAACCTGGCCTCTATTCACAAGGTAGCACATGTGAACGATTCACTCTTAGAGCATGATGGGGCACTGTTAAGTACTTACCCTGAGTATATTTTTATCTGCTGACTCATTTCTGTGTCTTTACAGGATTCAGGGAATATACCAGAAGCCATTGCCTCTTACCGCACTGCTCTGAAACTGAAACCTGATTTCCCAGATGCCTACTGCAACTTGGCCCACTGTTTGCAGGTGAGGAAGACGAGGTTTTGATTGTAATTCTTAAGATTCTTCTGCAGCAAATGCCAAGCTTGATCACCTCAACCAATCCCTAATTTAAATGTAAAGAGTAGACTTAAGTCTTAAATCAGAAGATAAGATTATACAGTCATCAACAGTAATTACTGAAGTTCTCACTTCCATTTTTGGAAGAAGCATTAGTCTGAACTTGTGAAATATCTGATACAGATCAAAGGAAGCTGCTGTCCTAACGTTCTTTTAATTTTTCCTTTTTATAGATTGTCTGTGACTGGACAGACTATGATGAAAGAATGAAGAAGCTGGTTAGCATTGTAGCTGATCAACTGGAGAAAAACAGACTGCCTTCTGTCCACCCACATCATAGCATGCTGTATCCCCTTTCTCACAGTTTTAGGAAGGCTATTGCTGAGAGACATGGAAATCTGTGTTTGGACAAGGTAGGAAGTTTTATACACGCCAGTTGTGAGTGAAGTACTTCTGTGTGTTCCTACTGAAAATCTAATACTCGCATGGTTAGTATTAGCCTTTGTAAGGTTTCTGAGTCACTGACCTGTAGAGAAATAGGACATAGTGTTACTCATCTAGTTTTGCAAAGTACATGCGAGGGGCATTTTGGAAAAGCAGAGTGAGTAAATTATTCTTTCCTAGTGGTAAAACAGATCCAGGCAGCTGTGTAGTAGTATTTCTTAAAATCTGGTCCTTTCCAGCATCCATAGTGCTTGGAACCTGACCTTGCCTCTAGGGAATCCTTGCTGGAATGTGGGAGCTTTGTGTGTGGCTCTGGGATTTCCAAATGCACTGGCTTTAGTGGTGATGGCAGCAATGATACAGGGGTGATGCATCACAGTAGGAAGTACTTGAGTATTTGTTGTGATTCTGGTTTGGAGTACTTTGTGTACAGTAGAACAGATTCTTGTAAAACCATGTCTTCTCTTGCTGTAATTACTTAGCTGTGTGCCAGTTCCATGAGATTACACAGCACCTCAAGCTGCCAGGAGTGGAGTTGCAATCGATGGCAAATTCTTTAACTAAAATTTGATGCAACTTCTTTTTCTCTTCAACCAGAGAGTCATAGCTGTTAGAGCTTGTGAATGTTGAGATGGACTGCTTGAGCAGATTGCCAGTAATAATTGAAAATATACTGTCAACCAGTGGAAGGGTGTGGTTAGCTAATGTAAAGATCTCAAACTTCAGAAGATAACATTTAGCCTTCAAACTGCCTTGTCTTAATAGCCTGATAATCCTGTCAGTGATAGTGCCTACAAGCTGATGTCTGGGGAAGATGATGAGCATAAGAATGGAAAGCATGCTGTGGTACTTCACAGGAATACTGTTCTGGTCACAAGTGGCTTGTAGTTTGAGAACTTCCTGGTCATAGTGGTATGGTATCAGTATATTTAATAATCAGGGGTGGAATACTTAAAAAATAAACGGGTAGAAAAGCAGAAATGTCAGCTTGCAGTAGTGATGTCTGTCTTTATTTGGCTAAATGTAGGTATGTGACATCTCGTAACACAGTTTGTGGACTTCACATTTGGCTCCAATGGAATACGTATAATGCAGGTTTGAAACAACAGATGCCCAGAGACCACTTACTTGAATGTGGGATAAGGCTAATTCTAAACTCATGGGGTTTATTTGTCCCTCTGTTTAGTATTTGGTTTTGGTTCCTGAGTTTATAAACAGTTGTGTATGTTTTCTTGACAGATTAACGTTCTTCACAAACCACCGTATGAGCATCCCAAGGATTTGAAGGCCAGTGAAGGTCGACTTCGTATTGGCTATGTGAGCTCTGATTTTGGAAACCATCCAACCTCACACCTAATGCAGTCAATCCCAGGCATGCATAACCCAGACAAATTTGAGGTAAAAATATAAATGGCATGCTTAAAGCTTTAAATACAGCTGTAAGTGGCACTTCCTTTTTCTCAGTGGAGGAAAGTAAACTAGGGAGGGGCAAATTTTTGTTTCTAGGGTTGGTGGTTGTTGTTGTTAGCAGGCTTTTTTTTTTTTTTTTTGATGGGTTGAAGAGTTATCCAGCCTGAGTCATCCTCCTTTACCAATAAGTAGTGTTATTTAGAAGGTAGGCTAATTAGATACCTGTCCTTAGAATTACTGTAGGTTGGATTTCTGGCCCATGGAAAACTTCTTTTAAGTTTCAGCTGCTCTTCTTTAGTAGATATGTTTCAGCATCAAGCTATTACTGCCTGGTTACTTCTGATTTACAGATATGTATCTGTGTTTTGTTCACTCTCTGATGCTGGCTTTTTTACATGTATTTTTCTCTGGGATACCTGAATCACAAACATGGACTTCACATTGGTCTGGCTACTGCTTTTTCAAAAGGAAATTATGCACTACGCTCCAGAAGGAACATACAAAATTTAGCAATACAGTCACATCTATAGTTATTCGGGTGTCATGTTAAGGGATTGAGGCTGTAAATAGAACTAATTCCCAGTTCCATTGTTTGCCCCATGACTGTTTAAATTGCCTTGGTTTTGAGTTCCTGTTTTCTAAGACGTGAGAATTTACTTATCTTTGTAAAGGGTTGTAAGTCTTTCCTTCTTGCAAAAGAGTTTTTTATCTGTTTGGCAGCAAAGCTGCAAGGGCTGTGGATGTGTTAGAAACCACGGAAGCACCTCAGAATGTTCATTTAGGAACTAGGGCTTCTCCCCCCGAAAAGGTGGCAGGAGCAATAGCCCAAGTGAAGTGCATCTACACCAATGCACGCAGCATGGGTTGAGGGACTGTGTGGTAGCGAGGTCCTTTGGTCTGCTGTCTCAGTGGAGGTAGGGGATAGAGAGCCATGCAGCAGGAAAGATGCAAGGGCTGTGGATGTGTTAGAAACCACGGAAGCACCTCAGAATGTTCATTTAGGAACTAGGGCTTCTCCCCCCGAAAAGGTGGCAGGAGCAATAGCCCAAGTGAAGTGCATCTACACCAATGCACGCAGCATGGGCAACAAACAGGAGGAGCTAGAAGCCGTTGTGCAGCAGGAAAACTATGATGTAGTTGCTATCGTGGAAACATGGTGGGATGACTCGCACAATTGGAGTGCTGCAACAGACAGCTATAAACTCTTCAGAAGGGACAGGCAAGGAAGGAGAGGCGACGGGGTAGCCCTGTATGTTAGGGAGTGTTTTGCTTGTCTAGAGCTTAATGACGGTGACGATAGGGTTGAGTGTTTCTGGGTAAGAATCAGGGGAAGGCCAACAAGGCAGATATCATGGTGGGAGTCTGTTATAGACCACCCAACCAGGATGAAGAGACAGATGAAGTATTCTCTAAGCAGCTGGGAGAAGTTTCACAATCACTAGCCTTTGATCTCGTGGGGGACTTCAACTTATAATACAGCGGAGAGGAAGCAGTCTGGGAGGTTCCTGGAGTGTGTGGGAGATAACTTCCTGACACAGCGGGTGAGGGAGCCCACTAGGGAAGGCGCCCGCTGGACCTCTTGTTTGTGAACAGAGATGGCCTGGTGGGTGATGTGACAGTTGGAGGCCGTCTCGGGCATAGTGATCATGGAATGACAGAGTTTTTGATTCTTGGAGAAGTAAGGAGGGGGTCAGCAGAATTGCTACCTTGGACTTGAGGAAGGCAGACTTGGGCCCGTTCAGGAGCCTGGTTGACAGAGTCCCTTGGGAGGCAGTTCTGAAGGGCAAAGGAGTCCAGGAAGGCTGGACATTCTTCAAGAAGGAAATCTTAAAGGCTCAGTAGCAGGCCATCCCCATGTGCCAAAAGACAGGCTGGTGTGGGAGAAGACCGGCCTGGCTGAACAGAGAGCTTTGGCTGGAACTCAGGAAAAAAAGGAGAGTTGATGACCTTTGGAAGAAGGGGCAGGCAACTCAGGAGGACTGCAAGGATGTCATGAGGTTACATAGGGAGAGAATTAGAAGGGCCAAAGCCCAGCTGGAACTTAATCTGGCTAGAGCTGTAAAAGACAACAAAAAATGTTTCTACAAAGACATTAGCAACAAAAGGAGAGCTAAGGAGAATCTCCATCCTTTATTGGATGTGGGGGGGAACATAGTGACAGAGGGCAAGGAAAAGGCTGAGGTACTTAATGCGTTCTTTGCCTTGGTCTTTAATAGTCAGACCAGTTGTTCTCGGGGTACCCAGCCCCCTGAGCTAGAAGACAGGGATGGGAAGCAGAATGAAGCCCCCATAATCTGAGGGGAAATGGTTAGTGACCTGCTACACCACTTAGATGTGCACAAGTCTATGGGGCCGGATGGGATCCACCCAAGGGAACCGAGGGAGCTGGTGGAAGTGCTCACCAAGCTGCTCTCCATCATCTGTCAGCAGTCCTGGCTAAGCTGGGAGGTCCAGTTGACTGGAAGTTAGCAAATGCGACGTCCCTCTACAAGAAGGGCTGGAAGGGGGATCCGGGGAACTACAGGCCTGTCAGCCTGACCTCGGTGCCGGGGAAGTTTACGGAGCAGATCATTCTGAGTGCCATCATGCGGCACGTACAGGACAACCAGGAGATCAGGCCTAGTCAGCATGGGTTCATGAAAGGCAGGTCCTGCTTGACTGACCTGATCTCCTTCTCCCAAAGAAGGCCAGGGAAGCTGGTGAACGGTCTAGAGCACAAGTCTTATGAGGAGTGGCTGAGGGAACTGGAGTTGTTTAGCCTGGAGGAGGCTGAGGGGAGACCTTATCGCTCTCTACAACTACCTGAAAGGAGGTTGTATTGAGGTGGGGGTCGGTCTCTTCTCCCAAGTAACAAGCAATAGGATAAGAGGAAATGGCCTCAAGCTGCGCCAGGGGAGGTTTAGGTTGGCTATTAGGAAAAATTTCTTCACCAAAATGGCTGTCAAGCACTGGAACAGGCTTCCCAGAGAAGTGGTTGAGTCCCCATCCCTGGAGGTATTTAAAAGATGGGTAGATGTAATGCTTAGGGACGTGATTTATTGGTGGACTTGGCAGTGCTAGGTTAACGGTTGGACTTTATGATCTTAAGAGTCTTTCCCAACCTAAGCTATTCTATAATTATTAATCTTGTTTTGTTTTGGTTTTGGGCTTTTTTTCCACTACCTTCTTGCTTTTTCCTGGTTGTGAAGTCTTTGTAGTCTGAAATCCTTGTGGCAAAGCTATATGCTTGAATTGTTATCAGAAGTGTTACTATGAAGCAGTTTTTTTCATGAAACAATTAAATTGGTGGTCTGAGTACATGGGGTGTGAGGAGAACATACCGTTTAACCTTGAATCAGCTTAAGACAAAGGGCAGTCTTTCTTGTTCTGGGTTTATAAAGCTCTACAGAGCTTAATTTAAATACTAAATAGAAGTTGCATCTTATTTTACTAAAACTATGCTCTTGTCCTGCAAGATAATAAATTCTCTGCATGTTGGTTCTGTTTGTTCTGTATCTGTATGTGCTAGGTTAACTGAAGATGTCTGTTTACATAACCTTATCAAGCTTGAGTTTCTCAGATATATGTGCAGTTTCTTAATTGGAGAGAACTTGTCACTGTTTAAAGAATCTGTTAAAAATCTTCCCCAAGGCTTAGCTTGTCTGTTCAACCGGAGTCATAATTATGAATATCACGAATTACAAATTTAAACGTGTCTTGTAAAAGGCGTTCTTGGAGAATTCAATGCTTATGCAAATCCATTTGTTAAAATGACTTTACCTTGCACTGAGGGGAAGATTGTATATATGTCTATGCAAGATGCAGTGCCATGCTCTAGCACCCAAACTTAAGTAAAACTAGGGCCTGGTGTAAATATGTCAAATGCCCAGCGCCTCCCCCTGCCCTGCCCACCC